CAACATTGATCTGCTTCATGATCTGATGTAGTCTCAGTTCATCTGTTATTTCTCTATATAATTTACGCCTATAATGCATAATTTTAGCCAACGTTTTTTTAATAGATTGATTAATTTAATAGAAATAATTTTACAAAACTTAACTGAAATAAGGCTCTATATGAGAGAGTCTAACCTCTCTGATTTTTATTTGGTGACTATGCTGTGGATGTCAAAATTAAAGTGCAGTTTTACTTATAAAATATTATATACACAACTGGTCAAAGGTTTGGGGTCAGTATAATTGATAAATATTTTAAAATAAGCTTCTCTTGCTTACCAAGGCTGCATTTATTTCATCATAAATACAGATCAAATTATAAATTCTTGAAATGTTATTGCACTATAAACTAACTTTAAAAGTTGTTTATCATTTAATTTAATGTTTTGCTCCAGTGATCTTAAAGATGCATGGTTTCCGCTAAATTTATTCTTCCATGGCGGGGCGCCACACCAAAATGCTTCCCTCCATGGCTACATTATAGCTTTTCATTTAAAACATTCAGTCAATGTTGTTGTTTTTAATAGCGGTTTATAATTGCACCAAAAAGTATTTAAAAGATAAGTGAATTATAACAGCGCAAACTTTTCTGTAATTGTAGTAGTGCTCTGCGTTATTTGTTTAACCCTTTGAAGTTACGTGCTGACTGACTGACTAAAGACTGACAGGTGCGTAATGCGTGAGGCCAGCAAACATGACATGGCTTTCAGTTATGATGAACACAGTTTCCATAAGTGTAATTTATTTATAGATAAAGGTCTGTGATTCTGCATACAGTGACTTTATCTTGCTGGAAATTCTTGCCGTTTCACTTTACTTCAGGATGCATTAATGCCACTCTGTAGGTCTATTTTAGACATTCAGAAATATTCCTAGCAAATCTAATAAATGTTGGAGATATACTCACTACATAAATGCACTAAATCGCATTTCAGCAGCGTTTATTTGAGAGCACACAAGAAGATCTGTGCTTGAGCAGTGTATATTTGAGGGGGTGTCAAGAGGTTCTGTGCACAAGCATAGGAAATCGGTGCGCAAGCAAAAAGATTTGCATGCTTTTATTGCATAAATGCGATCTCTACTTGTAATACTGCGCTCACGACATTTCTCCATTTGTCATTGAAATAATGTCATAGGTAGTTGGTAGATTTGTTTAAAAGGTCTACCCCTACAGCTGGAAAAAATCCTAGAGGAAACACTGAGATACATTTTCAGCTTCATCACTTCAGTCTTCAGAATCACACGATCCTTTAGAAATAACTCTAAAATTAATTGTTATTGTTATTATTATTAATGGAAATAGTAATAAAAGCAAATGTCTGGAGTAATAATTTTATTTGAAACTGCATACAATTACAAAAGCAGTTATTTAAAATTGTAATAAAAATTTAACAATTAAAAAAAACTTACATTTAATAAACTTGATGAACCGAGTAATTTTCCTTTAAAAAAACATGAAAAATATTAATAAAACTGACCCCAAACTCAATTATGTTTGGCTTTTGAAACATATTTTAAAAGTATTGTATGTGGCTAAGAAATTGCTATTAACATCTTTCGTTTGGTGGGTCCAGTGAAAATTTTGGCAGTAAAAATCTGAACTACTGGCCCGATCGGGCTAGTAGAAAAAATCCTTAGCGTTGAACCCTGGATATTAAATATTATATTTGTTAATTATTTATACTAGGGCTGCACGATTCTGGCTAGAACAATTATTTTTTTTTTGTTTAAAATCAAGAAATCACAATTTTCTCACGATTCTGTAGATGTAAAATAAAGGTTAATATAAGTAGGCTATATTTATTGTTATATTCAAACATTTGGCAAGACAACAATAATAATATTAGGCCTACGTGTAGGTCTGCTGTTGGTTAAAATGCTAAATTTTGTAAAGACTTGGAACAGAATTGAACAGTCCTGTTAATGCACAGCAAAGTGATTACATTATTACAATACAACTATTCATAATTCTAAAGTTGAATTATTATGTTTGAGAAATGCTTGCAATCTGTCATTGACAGCATTATCAGACCATTTTTTCACTGGTAAATAAAAAAATTATTATTATCAGATTCCCACTTGCATTTTATTCAACATTATATAGACTAGTAGTTAAACTGACCCAGTAAACATTTATTTTCATGCACAACACCTTGTGTTCGCTATGAAGGAAAAAACATAATGCTTGTCATACTCATAACTCTAAAATGCGATATGATCATTTAAAATTAATGACACTTTTGGTTTCACTTTCGTTGCTGATTGCAGATGATGTCATGGCTGATCAACATCCATGCAAATCAGACTTTCCGCGCAGCTACCAAACGATCGCTCTGTGCAACAAACTGAATGTTATTTATTTACAACTTTATTACCTGTTATTCAGTCTATTCAGGTTTTGTAGAAAGGTCAAGTAGACATCATTGGTGTGTACGCGCACATCCTCTCGGTAGTAAACAAATAGTGCATCAGCTCAAGTGTGATTTTGCGGCCACGAATACATCATTACATTAAAGACAGAAATTACAAATTTTGGGTGAATTATACCTTATAAATACAATATGTGACACTTTTAACACCATTTAGAGGTGTCTATGTTGCTTAGCAAAGTATATAAAACATAGTAAAGACTTGTGCATCTGCCTTTATGCTTCTCTCCTGACCTTAAAATATAATTGGCTTAATCCTAGGAAAGCTGACTCAAAATCGTGTGTAGGGTCAAATCGAAATCTCGATCTTTTCCCGATTATTCATGCAGCCATAAGTTATACCATGATTACCATGTTATTTTACATCCAATTTCTAGACTTGAATACTGTTAAGACTCCCCATTGTTTATTTATTTATTTTTGCTTGTAATTGATTATAATTTATGCAGATGCACTGCATTGAAAAAGGATTGGTCATCCCAGTTAATCTAAATTAACGAAATCTTTCAAAATAGAGCCAGTCAAATCATCTAGTGAAACTAAATTCATAGTGCAGCAAAACAGAATATCGAAATGTCAAACTTTTCCAATATTATGCAGTCCTAAACGCCACTGTTGAAAAACGTCTAGTGATACATTTACAACATCTGTGAAGAAGAACCGAAAGGATGAGCAGACATGCTTTCATTTTTAATATGACATCTAAATAATATTTCTGAAGATTTACTTTGAATTGAAAGACATGTTTGGACACGTCTCTGCATCACCTGAGGATCAAAGGTTAGGCCTCTTCCCATCTAAAGTGACACGGTGTTTAAACATAATCTATCAAAGACGTGTTAAGTGGGCCTACAACCTGATCCCATAACCATATGTTCCCACACCTTCTGACCGGTGACTTTCCAAGTGATTAAGAAAACTTCATAGCTACTGCACTCAGAAAAAAGGTAGCCATTAGCAGATTAATAAATAACAGAATAAAATAACTGAAAGTGAATGACGCCAGATGCCACATCCAAACTTATTTTAAGATGAGGTGGAAAACACAAAAGATTTTCCTGTAAGATATATAGATTTTTAAACATTATATTTATCCATTTTTTTATATAATATTGAGTAAGAAATTTCATATACAATATATACACAAAGATCAAAACAACTGGCTTTCTCAAGATATGGGTATTTCAAATTATAAGCTTCTCCTAGTAATTAACTACTACAGTGGTTCCCAACCTTTTTTGCCCGAGACCCCTTTCCCCCAAAATATATTATAAGGCCCTCCTCTACATTTACTAATATTATTGCTCATGAACTACGGCAACATGATTGTTCACCTAATTGTCCACTGCAAATGTTTTTTTTTTTTAAATATGATGTGACAGATAGCTTGATGAGCCCTCCTTGTGGGCCGAAAAAATTGTGTATATATATATATATATATATATATATATATATATATATATATATATATATATATATATATATATATATATATATATTCATGTATCACAAAATAAAAATATCACAATGCTAGATTTTCCAGTATTGTGCACTATACATTGTATATATATTGTATATATACTATATATTGTGTTTCCATGTACTATACAGGAACATTTAATAGGGTGACCATATGTCCTCTTTTTTGGATTAAATAAAAATGCATCTGGCCAGCATTTCTAATCTCCTAAAATGTCCGATTCAGCTTTCTTTCTATGGTCGCCATTATTTTATGCATTTTTGCGTTGTTTTAATTTTCTCTTTAAGCCAAGTATTGTTGCATGCCTTGGTCTTCCATGTACATACACAAACATTGACCAGTGCAAATTGGCCAGGCAAACATCTGTCAATCCCTCAGCAGCACTAAGCTAACAGCCAAGAGAGGGATAGAGAGCAGCAGCTTTTACCTGTTGGTAGCACATGGCTCCTCCTGGTAATGTAAAAGTGAAATAGGATTTTTTTAAACTTTTTTTTTTTTTCCCCAATGCAAAAAAAAAATCATTGTCATGTAAAAGGTGCTAAATGCTAAATATTGTTAATGTTTGTTATTGTTCTATTGTTGAGGGCCAAACATTTAAGGATGTTTCCATCAAAAAGTAAACATTTCAGCATGACATGTTGCTTCAGTCACAATTCACATTTTTTTTTCCTTTTCAATCTGCTTCATTCTATACAGAAATATATGGCAAGTTTTGAACGATGGTTACCTGCAGCAGCAGTCTGGCTGGTCATGTGACTTCAATATGGCGGTTCCCATGAGCAGGGCAAGCCGCATATTTCCAAAACGCAGAATGAAAGCGCAAGACATAATAACATTCTCTTTGACATGTGCTTATGTTATAGGAAGTATATTCATGTATTATATCAAGTTCGGATTAGTCGGTTAATAAATACCAAACTCCTCAGACTTCAGAATTAAATCAATCTAACCTTACAGAAGTGCTTGTCATCTTGACATGACACATGTTGTCATACAACCTTTTAAGTAACTTAGTTACTAACAGTTGTCATGCAACGACAACTCCACTTACTTTCGTTCTTCCATTGATCCTGTAGTTGCCCAGTTTCCCGTTACAGTGTCGGATCAGATCGTCCATGCGGCTCATGAGAAACGCTATCCGCTCACAGCCGGGCTCCTTCCCCTCCACCCAGGTGATCTTATCCCCGCGAATGTCCTTCGACGAGTCGCTCCTCTGACTGACCAGCTGTCCGTCCGTAAAGCCGCCGGTCAGATAAAGCGCCCGCACGTCCTCCAGAATACTGCGTCCGACCTCGTTCCCTAGGAAGTTGTCGACCACACAGATGCCGTGCTTGTTCATGCAGGGCACGATATAGTCCGTAGCCAGTTTCTGAGGGGGGGAGCGCGTCTGTCCGTTAGGTTTTGAGCTGTCCGGGGTCGGTTTGGTGTCAGAGCCTGTAGCAGACTTGATAAAATCTGGCATTTTTTCGTCTTGTGACGTAAGTGTAGAGTTACTCTGAGAAGTGCTCGACTGTTTTGAAGTGTCGCTCGGCTGCTCTTCTTCTTCTTCACCCACCGGCTGCTGCTGTTTGTCGGCCTCCTTGCAAACCCGCTTGTGCTTCTTCCAGTCCTGTCTCTGGTGCTCTTTGCTGCAGTAAAACGAACTGCGACAGCGTCCACACTTCATCAGGTTCTCCATTTTCCCGCACAGCTCACAGAACTGACGCTCGCGCTCCAGACGCTCGCTTTCCCTTGAGTTTCCCTCCATGATTCAGCGCTGTATTACAGTATCAGGCTGCAACTTCACTACAAGTCTCCACAAGCGAAAACGAAACAAACAGTGTCGCTGGCCCCCCGCTGCCGTTCTCATAACAGTTGACGGAGGGGACAGCGAGGATCTCACATTCCCGGGACATCTATGTTTTGACACTTTAGAACTGAAGTCGTGTGATTGTGATGGAAGCGCATGGCGCCGACCGTTCCTTTTCTTCAGCGCTGGGCGCACGTCAACCATCTGCGCATGCGCACTAGAGGCAAGCATTGTGGGCATGGCTCGCATGTGCTTCTCATAACTTTGTGTTGGCAGAATTAAAATCAACTAAAAAAATCTATAATTGCCATATAAATTACTTAAATGCTTTATTTGCGTATTAGAAATAAAAACAATAATTACATAATAACAGTAAGTGCATTAGTGCTACAATTTAGAGGGGTTATGAATATGATAATGGATTAAAATATGATTTTTAAAAACAGTTTACAACATAAAGCTGCGTAATGGACTCTTTTTGTGCAGCTCAAAATAACTGCAAGCACATTAAACCGGAAGCCTTACACAGGTCACGTCCACTCCTGATTAAAATCACAAACAAACAAACAAATACATTCTCACTATATGCATAAATGGTCATAAAAACAAATACATACATAATCAAACCAAACAAAACTTTTAACAGGCAGAAAAAGCCTAATAAATAATCTAATAAAAGTGCAATAAACAGTAAATTATTTAAGCTACAATACAGTGCTTTAATGATTATGATAATACATTAATATATGATATGAAATAAAATGTTTACAAATAAAGCTGCATGATGGATTAAAGATTAACAAGTGAAAAGTGATGTAACTTTACAAATTATACACTCACCAGCCACTTTATTTCACCTGTTGAACTGCAATGCAAATTTCTAATCAGCCAATCAGATGGCAGGAACTCAATGCATTTGGGCACGTGGATCAAGTGGTCAAGACGATCTGCTGCAGTTTAAACCGTGCATCAGAATGGGGAAGAAAGGTGATTTAAGTGACATTGAACATGCCATGGGTGTTAGTGCCAAACGGGCTGGTCTGAGTATTTTAGAAACTGCTGATCTACTGGGAATTTCACGCAACGTTGCCTGGTGAGATTAGCATCATGGACGTGGAAGCAACAAATCTGCAGCAACTGCGTGATACGATCATGTCAATATGCACCAAAATCTTTGAGGAATATTTCCAGTACCTTGTTTAATCTATGCCACAAAGATTAAGGCAGTTCTGAAGACAAAAGGCGTCCAACCAAGTACTAGGAAGGTGTACCTAATAAATTGGCCGGTGAGTGTATACAACATTCATTCAATTTCTTTTCGGCTTAGTCCCTTTATTAATCTGGGGTCGCCACAGCGGAATGAACCGCCAATTTATCCAGCATATGTTTTACTCTGCAGATGCCCTTCCAGCTGCAACCCATCACTGGGAAACATCCATACACATTCATTCACACACATACATTGTGGATGATTTAACTTACCCAATTCACCTACACCACGTCTTTAGAATTGTGGGGGAAATCAGAGCACCCGAGCTCGAACCAGCGACCTTGCTGCGAGGCGATTACTGCGCCATCGTGCTGCCTATATATATATATATATATATATATATATATATATATATATATATATATATATATATATATATATATATATATAAGCTAATTGTTTTTGTTATGTATTATGTATTTTCATATAACACATTTTATACCAAAGTGCTTTACATATGTAAAGAAATTTTAAAATTATATAACAGTAAAGAAAAAAATGGACATAAAATCGATATTTAATAATTAAAACAATACACAAAACAAAATGAGATCCTTTATCGAAATGAGTAAAATACCTTATCTTATACCTATTAGACTTTACACTGGTCTATGTTTATGACTGTTGTGCATTTGCAATGGTTTCCTTCTCATAATAATCTCCATAAATGTTACTTCACTCTGTTTCTTAACTCATGTCATAAACAAAGTCCAAAAAAAAAAAAATCTTGTTTTGCAACCCAATCATCTACAGTAATATGGAGAGCTATTTCCATTACCAAATCAATCATATTCTCATGGGAGCAATAAAGATTAGGGTTATACTGTATGAGATAATGCTGAAATGATACTCCGCTTCCTTACCACTATACTAATAACAGTATTTTTGTAGTAAAACGCATTCCATTCCACCTTCAAATCTAGCATTATATCATCCAGAACGCAACGTTTATGTAACATTTACATGATTTTAGGTTGCAGTTACATAAAAATATGCCACAATATGCTGCTTATGTAATGGGAAACTTGTGAATGATGATTGCAATTTTCTTATCTCAATTACAAGTGGAAAAATCCTTACTAATGATGCAGGTTTTGGGATAACACTAATGTTTGTGGTTCTTTTCGAGGCTGAATCATGTCCATGACTTTGTGTTGTTAATTTGCTGTTTGGATTAGAATTGATCACAGAGGGTTTTGTTGGTTTAACTGCCCCTCTGAGCTCCGATACGCACACAGGACATGTTTATTTACAGTCTCAGTGTGCGTGTTTGTGTTTATCTCTCTGTGAGTAGATCCACAGGCTGAATACTTCAGTAATGCCGAGCTGAGGGTGGACCCATATCCAGGACTGGCCCTCATATCTGTCCCTCAGGAGGGCTATCCCAAGCCTGAGGCCATCGCCCCTCCTTCCTTTGCCCTATAACCATCTATTGCTCTGCCTCTGGAGAGCGAGGGTAGGAGAGAGCTGTTCCTAGTCTATCTTTGACAGAATTCTGACAGGTTTTTTTTATACAAGGGCAAAAATGCTAGCCCTCCTGCACTGTAATGCAACTTCCAAATTGTTGAATTCATCTTTATTTATCTAGCACTTTTATAATGTAGACTGTGCTAAAGCAGATTAACATAGAGGTTTTATTTAAACTGTCAGTCCAGTTGTCAGAGTTAAAGTTCAGTTTAGTTCAGTTCAGTGTGGTTTAATTTTCACTGCTGAAAGTCCAAACACTGAAGGCCTAACTTGGCCTATAGTTGTTAACTAGGTATAAAATTGCAAGTTAGTTGATATCATCGAGCTCACTGTTAAGTTTACTCATACAAACTATTTAAACTCACATTTAGAACTGTTTGTTCAATAAAAGTAAAGAACTCAGTTGTAGAAAGATGTATTTTTTATTTCTTCATTTAAGTATTTACTTCCAAATTTAAATTCTTTTTCAAATATGATATCACAAAGTGATTAAGAGAAAAAAGAAATTTTTACAGTATTTACTATTACAATTTTATTATTTCTTATAGTTTGCCTAGAATAAAGGCACTTTTTAATTAAAATATATTTGTATAATAATTATTTTTATAAATACTTTTTAAATATTATATTTGTTTTTAAATATTATTAGCCCTCTTAAGAAGTGGTTTTTCTGATTGGACACAGAACCAACCATTGTTGTCAATGCATGTTTAATTTTTTATATTTTATTTATATTATTTTTTATTTATTATAGTTTGACTAAATAATGATATTTTTAATTTAAAAATATTATACCTATTATTATAATTTTTAACTGTTATAATTAAAAAAAAATATCATTAGCCCTCTTAAGAATTAGTTTTTCTGATTGGATACAGAACAAACCATTGTTGTACAACACACATTTATTATTTTATATATTTAGTGTATATACGTTTTTATTTTTTTATTGTTTGGCTGAATAAAACCAGTTTTTAATAAAAAAGATAAAAAACATGTTACAGTTATTTTTATAATCATCATTATTACATATTAGTAAACATACATATTAGTTTTTCCAATAGGATGCAGACCAAACCAATATTCCAATGGATATTTAGTATTGTGTATACTATGTATGAATTTTTATTTATAATTATTTATTATAGTCTGGCTAAATAAAAGCAGTTTTTAATAAAAAAAACAACAATTATAATTATCTTATAATTATTATTATAATTACTTTTTAAATATTTAAAAATATTATTAGCCCTCTTAAAAATTTGTTTTTCCATTTGGATGCAGAACAAATTACTGTTGTCCAATGCATATTTAATATTTTGTAAAATTTGTACATACATTTCATTATCGATTGTAGTTTGGCTGAATAAAAGCAGCTTTTAATAAAAAAAAAACAATATTTAAAATATGATTATAATTATTTTTCTAATTTTAATTATAATTTTAAACTATTATAATTATTTTAAAATATTGTTAGAACTTTTTTTTATTTGATACAGAACATGCCACTGTTGTACAAATGCATGTTTTATATTTTGTATATTGTTATTAATATTTTCTTATTATTTCTTTTTCGTTTTTAATAAAGTGTATAATTAAAAAAACACTATTATTATAATAATTGTTATAAAATATTATTGTTATTATTATTATTATTATTATTATTATTACTTTTTAAATATTATAATTATTTAAAATTATTATTAGCCCCCTTTTATTAGCCACTGCTGTTTACCAATGACCTATTAAATAGATAACCTTTAAGCCTTTAAATTGTACTTTAAAGTCCCTGTGAAATCAAAATAAAGTTATCAAAATAAAGTTAAGTATTAGTATCAGTATGTTATGTGCTAAGATTATCTAGTTTGCTCAGAAACTGTGACAAAATTCGCATTTAGAAAATATAAATATCCAAAGCTTGCAATTTGTCTCTTCCACCTAAATGGATCAATGATTGCTTGATTGGATCAAATATGCTTTTTATTTGATGGCCTTGAGCTCGACCACTCTGACTGGTATAAATATTTGAGTAAATATTTACAAAGGTAAATATTCCACAGAAATAGCATATTGTTATCTGTTAAAACATAAACAGCACTTTGAATAAAGGTAGTGTAGTCTGACCAGTATTACTTGACCTAAGAAGTTAAATGACACTGTTAGCATTTTACTAAATTAATTATTACAATGCCTCTGTAAATGCCTTGGATTGAGTCCTATTTGGACTGGATACAAAAATGTGTGAGAGTCAATCAATGGGGTGTGTGTCCTAACAATAAGGGAGTACCTCTAGGGTATGCACTAAGCCCATTGTTGTTTACAATGTACATAAAGGACCCTCCAGACTGTAGTCCAGATGTCATCTGGCAGTTATATGCAGATATGTCTG